TTAAACAGACGAAAAAGTATGGACAAAGCAGCAGAAAAGTAGAAAGTGTTCATCATCCTAAAAGAAAGAATTTATTGTCTAAAACTACTATAGGATTATATATATTATATATATGCTTATTCACAGGAATTTCATCGTATTTGTGACTTGTCAGCCGGATGTATCTGCATTTCTATAGAGTAATGTTGTTATCAGTGAAACATGAATACACCACTCATCGTTTCAAATGCCAAAGTATTAACAGCTAGCTACACAAATTTTCTCAAAAACTACCAATAAGTGATACGTTTTGTACAAGAGATAACTCTCGTGACTTAAGTTGCTTAGTGTATTATGACTTAGCATTTGAAACTATGGGTGCATGGTTTAAGTGTCAATGAGAACAGTGTCACTTTTTTGGAATGAAGGTACATTCTGATGACGAGTCCCGGAGAGAACGTAATACGCATCCTGGATTAATCTGTTAATCCCTATCAACTAAAATAAAAACGGTTGTGTCAACAGTTATGCCTTGTCCGATTACCAGTGACAATCATTCATCAAGAGAGTTACATGCAAACATATCAAGATTTTCTATGTACTTAGTTGAGCATGAAGGAATTCACTTCGAATCAATATTGGATGGATATATGCAGTTGGCGGTAAGCTGTGGACCTAGGTTCCATGCCTCCTGTTACTAGGAGTAAGTGAGATGTATCTGCGACGTTGAGTGAAACTGACGTCATCTCTGGAGTGTTCAAGTCTGTGCCACAGTCAGAGATTTTACTACTCAGGTGACTGGGCAGCAACTTTGTTTCATTGAAGCTTATTTAGAGGATATTATAATCAGTCATTTTACATGGTCTTTAGTGTTAATAGACTGTGTCAGAAAAATCGATATTAGTCATTCCCTTAGTGACCAGTCAAATGCATCTACTTCAATCATTCAACCTTGCCTAGTTTTCTAGCCGGTCCCAAGCCCAGGTAAAGATGTAGGGTTTGGCGTGGGTCTAGCGACTGTACACCACGAAACCAATCAAACTGCTGTAGAAACTTCAACTCACAATGAATACATCGAAAATACAGAAAATATAAAAAACAGACTTATTCTTCGCTGGAATCAGAGAGGCGAAATGACACAACGGGCTGATGAAGGCTTTCAGGAAGTCAGTCAGCCAGCCAATGTGCATTCTCTCGATGAAAGCAACAATAGGAATAGGGATGTGGAATGTCCGTACAATGTGCGAGGCTGGGGAGGCTTCCCGGGTAGCCAAAGAAGTGTGAAGATATGACATAGAAGTTCCGAGAATCTGTGAGAGCAGATGGAATGGATGTTGTGTTGTTCAAGCCCCGTGTCCCACTGGGAACTCAAGGGAATAATAATAATCCTTCAATCCTTCAAGAGGTCATCATTGTCCAAATAACCGCAGTTTCAACATTTCAAAACTTCAACCCTTTATGAGGAAATTTACAACGTTGCCGGGAAGTTAGTTCTTCCAATATAGAAAATATGCATTACTGATAGGTGCTAATTAATACTAAGACTTAGATTCAAGACCTCCTTCTAATTTTCTTCCAAATAGTCCAATATCATTGAAACAGTTAATTTATCATTGGACACTAGTCAGTAACCAGTGTTGTGTGTCTAGTCCCATCTTTGGTGCAGACTGACTTCTGTCAGTTAGGCTTTCAATGTGGCCATCATGCCACTAGGTGGTTCACCATCATGGTGCAGTGTAATTTGTTGGTATTAGATGGTTGGAGGTAATGGGTGACGCAGGCTCGAATCTCAGAAGGGACATGAGTACCTTCAAGTTTGCAGATACGCTTTGCGAACTGGTGAGTGCCAACAAGCACGAAACCTAGGTCAGGCAAAGCTTCCTGCTGATTACCTCCAACCATCTAATGCCAGCAGTTCATTTCATTGCTAAATTTTTAATGTATCAATCTAAAGACAAATATTGGACAGATACTTTCATTTCATAGTTTCTCTACACACACACACACCCACACCACACACTTTACAATGAAGCTTGACCGACAATCGTAGAATGTTTGACAACTAATCACGAACTGTTTTCGTTTAGAGAACCATTGGAAACTAGGGAGTACCGGATGGAAAAGGATAAGCAACATAGAACTCTGGTACACAGAGGACCGACTAAGAATCCGTCAACCGAATGAGAAGCGATCAGGAGTTTGGGCGTTGGTCTGAGTCTGAGAAGCGAACGAAAGCTTATGGGCCGTAGTGGAGTCAGCTAAAAGAGAATGCAGTGAGGCGCATGTAATGAAGATAGGCTGTTGAATTCCTGTTTGGTGACTGAAACCCGTGGAAATAATGATCATAATAATCATTTCAAAGTGCACGTACATTATGAGTCTCCTGTCTTTGTGATCATATTGCAACGACAGAAGATAAAGATCAGGCAACAGATCGTTTATTTAGGAAATCAACAGATATTTATAGATTTTCATGTACATTATTGCTCGTTATTATTAGCAGAGAAACAGCGTCTTCTGATTGGTTGTTTTGCCGCTGAAGGTTATTCTGTCATCCCTTTGTTGCCGTTTCGTAGACAATCCTCTGATATATCTGTTGTGATTGGTTGTTGAGTTCCTCAAGGTTAGTCTTTGTTCTAGTTTCTTCTCATGACCGAGATTTGCGACGTAAACATTGACGTAAATTACTGTCTACCAATTTTCGCTAGCAGACACCGCTAACCACAATATTAGAAACTTTGCAATTCATCACTGCATGAATCACTTGAGGATTTCAGACGCATACTTTGAATTACATATGCTGTGTTTGCAAACCTAGTCCGAAAAGCCCGTTAAAAACAAACTGTCAATAGGATTGGATAAAGTGGGATTCTTTTCAATAAACTCATCAAAAGTAGATACACAGATTTGCAGCAAATGAACGAATCAGTACTAAAATATGTCTTTATTAAGAATAGTAATCAAGAGAGTAAGCATAACCACATAAAACTATGTACTGCTAATTGACTTACCTGAATGCATAGTTGAATACTACTCACATTAATCAGTAGTACTTGTGAGGCAGCCAGATGGAAATTACCTAAACACCTGATAGTTGTTTCACTCGTTTTGAGCCGAACTCATCAACAGTGTATTTTGGTTTAACAGATGTTAAAGTTAAAGGGTCTCTAGCGGTGTGTGTGTTTGACAACTTAGTAATTGCTTAATTTGCCAATTAAACCGATGGGTGCGTACTGATGAAGAGTCTCAAAAAAGGAAGAAATATTTGTCCAGTACTCCCAGTTGATTTTCCAGTGGTTCTCTAACTGATGTCAGCCCATGCATGATGAAATCCTCCAACCAGTCAAGCAAAATCCCTAAAAAACCAATACTTGAAAATTAATCTGATGCTTACCAGAGACTAGAAATATTCAGGTGGGAAGTTACCTGGGGTTCTAGTTGGAAGCTGTAGCCAGTAGCGTCCATCAGGTTGGAGGTAGTAACTCGTGGGAGAAAACATTGTGAATTTGTCGCGCTATTTCATGAATAGTCAGAAGTCGGAATAAATGGACTGTTCATTGGATCACGTCCCAATGGCTGTAACCAGAAAGTCTTAGATTCGGGCCCTGTTGGTGGGTGCGTACTGATGAAGAGTCCCAGACTAGGCTGACGAAACAGTTGTCTGTCCAGTACTCCTTGTAAGTTTTCTAATGGTTCTCTAACTGATGTCAGCTCATGATGAAATCCTTCAATCAATTTTGAATTTGATTCACTTTATTACAAGTTCACTCAATTAGCTATCCTGAAATTGGATGGTTTGAACCAATTCAGCACTTTGAGCTGAATCAAGTCTGTCACACTGCTGATACGCCTGAACTCAAATGATTGATACAACTCTCTGGTATTTAGATATTACTTCAATTTGGCTGGTTAGCAAGCACTACTTATATCAATCAGTCAGTAGTATAAAGTATCATTTATTGTTCGTTATCCATTTCTTGATACTTTTTGACTTTAACTTACCTAGTACCTCGATGGCTCAGAAAAACTTCTCAATCTCCCCCTCCCTCAGCCTTCCCTGCCCTCCTTTTCGAATTCTTCACTCTCTTGTTTAACGGATGTCATCACTTTCAACAGCAACAAAAAAAGTCGAGTACCATTCATTTTCTAAGCAATGACAATAAATCACTGAGTCAGGCAGGCAGTATTTATTTACACATTCTCATCACTTTTCTCTCTCATATTGTTACAATTTTATACAACACACACACACAATGAGAGATGAACACAAAAAAGGCAAGCACCACCTCACCTTGTATTTCAGTAGTATCGATTGGAAGATCATTATTGATCATCATTATTATTCCTTTTTTGGTGTTGTTGTTGTTGTTGCATCGTTTTGGTTCGCATTTAAAGAAGTCTTAATTTAGTGTGTGAGAAATCCGTGTGCTGTGTACATTTACACAATAGCGAAGCAAAGCAAAGCAAAGCATAGCATAGCAAAAAACAGCAACACCATCGTGAAACTGAAATAAAACGGAGAGAAAGAGAGAGGGGAAAGCCATCTTTATTTACTTAGACCATTTAGTCTAGTGCATATAACATATATTTATGTACATATATGTAATCATGTGTGCTAATTCTTTAGTCTATTTAAACAAAAGTCAGTTCATGCAATTCTCTTCATATCTCTTCAGTTTGCTACAGTCTTTCTTGGGCTTCAATTTGTTTACCAGGAGGGTGGAGGGCGTAGGTGTGTGTGTGCGTGTTATTCTCCTTGATCTCCAAGGCATCTATCTGTCTGTCTGTCTGTCTGTCTGCAAGTCTACCAGCACTGTCAATTTCTGCGGATCTATTCGACTACTCACAACGTTTTCAACGTTGTTTTTTTTCAAAAATAAACATATTCCCTTCACATTTTATTGATTGATTAGAGCACTAATTGTGTGCGTGTGTGTGCCACGGCGTCTTCACGAGTAGTTCATGTGTTTGTGTGTGTGTGTGTCCGTGTATCTGTGGGTTAAGATAATCAGAAAAGAGGAGAGCACAGTTTAAACTCTATAGAAATTGGAATTAATTAATTAATTAATTAATTAAAGCATAAAATATGCAAACTGATGCTGGTAGAGGTGGTGGCGGTGGCATTTCCGTACAGATTCGTCAAATTTTTCCAAGATGGTTTTCAAAATTCATTATTGGATTATACATGGCCACGCCACGGTTATTCGACAAAGTGTCACCAATGCTGTTGAGATCATTTCTCTCCGGAAATTTTGATAATGTTTTCTCTTTGATAATTGATTTTTTCTTGTAAGTTGGTTTTTGGCCTTGTTTTATAATTTGCTTGCTTAATGGCATCTTTTTGCATACAATTGGTTTGGTTTTTTCTATATTTATGAGCTATTCAGTAGGGTCCCAGTTGCTGAATGGTATACCAGCTTGCTGGCCTTGTAAGCGGAAGGTCCTGGGTTTGAACCCTAGCAGTGGGTGTGTACTGCCAATGATTCCCAAGCTAGGATGAAACAGCTGGCTGTCCAGTCCAGTACTCCGGTGCTGGTTTTCAATGGTTCTCTAACTGATATAATCAATCCCTGATCAACTCGTAAAAACAAAACTAATCCATGCAAGCCAAGTATAGAAAACATTGGATAAGTTTATTTGGTATAATACACAGTGATATAATATTGTTCGACATGAGGTGCTGTCAGATATTTAGATAATTCATAGATTGGGAGATAAACACGAGTGTTTGTACAGAAAACCCATACATTCAAACCGATATCTGGAATCTTGTTTTATTCTAACCTATGTCAGTAAATGGTTAAGTAATGGGCCAAAATGAAAATTAAGTAGTACCGAGAGGAAAATTAGGGTAGGAAGTAAGATATTTGAGAAGAGAAGCTTTACAATTTTCAAGTATTGGTTTTGTAGGGAATTTTCGTTTGATTGGTTGCAGGATTTCATCATCAGCTGACATCCGTTAGAGAACCATTGGGTAACCACTCAGGGAGTACTGGACAGTTGTTTCTTCAGCCTAATTTGGGACTCTACAACAATGCACACCCGTTGAGGTTCAAAATCAGGATCTTCCGGCTACGAGGTTAGCGAGCTTCTAGACCATTAAGCCACTGGGACGCGATCCAATGACCAGACAATGAATTCTTACTTCGGACAATTCATGAGATAGGGCGACCAGTTCTCAATGTATTCTTCGATGAGTTACTGCTTTATATTCAACCTGCTGTACCTTACTGCTTGCGGCTTCCCACTATAACACCAGGTAAATTCCGACCTGAATAGAGCCAGTCACTGGTGAGCATCAGATTAATTTTCAAGTATTGGTTTTTGTAGGAAACTTTGTTTTGATTGGTTGGAGGATTTCTACGACCTTGGTTGGTAACCAGAAGGTCCTGTGTTTAAATCCCGGTGGGTGCATACTGTGAAAAGTCCCAAACTTGGACAAAACAAATGTCCAGTACGCCCAGGTTTTCCAGTGATTCTCTAACCGATGTCAGCTCATTATGAAATCATCTAACCAGTCAAGGAAGCTTTGAAACTTAACATTTACCCTGATAAATTATAACCGGAACATATGCAGGAAAGCGTAAAAGTAAAGTAAGTAATAATAATAACATGCATTACAAACATTAACACGACAACGCAAACAGTACTGAATTTAAATTATCACTAGTACTAACATACAAAGAAGGAACCTCGGTAACCTTAAGCAGAATTCTTAACAATGCAGGAGTGAAACAAGGTATTCAAACCATCCACAGACTCAGTTAGAGACAAGCTTTGTCGGTTAAAGGATCCTGAGGAACCCATTCAAGAAAATAATTTAGTTTATCTGATATCCTGCAATAACCGGGAGGTAAAAAACATAGGTCAGATTAGTAGAACAGGTCCAGTCAGATTGGTGGAGCACAGAAACCTAGCAAAACGAACATTAGTTGACTCAAATAAGATGCTAAATCTAGAAAATTAGCTCATTTACAATGCTAGATACATTAGCACACAATGACACAATAGGTTGTGATAAGACGACAGTCGTAAAATCTAATATCATTGGATGGAGAAAGAGATTGATGATGGACGCTTTATTTATCCAGTTAACTGACAGCATGTGCAGTAGGAATGGTTCTATACCTGTCCACCAGGACATCTGGAAAACTCTACTACCCCTATGAAAGAGTGAAGAAAATCAAATTCCAAATTCATTTTAGTTATAATTGAGGATTTGATTGTGAACAATAATAAGCTGTGTTTGTAATATCGTCGTTCAGTAGATAATACTGTTCCATTGTGTTATGATATATCTAATAAGCAAATTAATATGGAGTTATATAATACCACAGTACCCAAGTTTGGCACATATATTCATACGTCGGAGTAACTTTAAAGTTAACTGTTGACCTTATGAGATATATTGTTTTATGTATTTTAATGTTATCATACATTCTACTGGTATCATTAGTTTTAGGCGATAAACAAACTTTCTGATTCACCCAGAGGTGACTTTATTCAGTGTTTGAAATCCTCTATAGATGTTTCTTTTTATCCTATTGATAAATGTGCCTTAAGGTTTCTTTAATTTCGTGTTAATATAATCCCATTAGACCATAACTACTATTGAACTGCTCTTGTCTGGTATCCACACTATTCTTGTGATTGATATAACTATGAGCAATAAACTAAGCTCCAAACTCCATCCGGTTATGAGTACCTTTTGACTGTGTATTATATTGAACAAACTTATCTAATATGGAATTACATTCCATCATAATGCCCAGCTTCTACTGGTACATGGCTTGGTATTTCGTCACTTACTGCTTCACAATACTTTTATTTCGATAAAACAATTATTGTAGTTTCCTTTAATTCCTAGAGGAGCATAGGGCTTCAGCCGCACGTCTACATTGCTTTCGGTTCTCCACCAACTTTTTCACCTGTCTCCATGCCTACCCACATGCTTTCATCTCCTCTTAGCATCACCTCCTCCTCCATGTCACACTCGTACTGACGACCAACTGACTCGCTTCTTCCCGTTCGGGTTCCACTAGAGCAATTACCTAGTGTGTGATGTCACTTAGTGATGGTTTGTTTTCTCAGAGTATGGCCACCAATCCACCTCAATTTCTTCCTGCATATTTATTGCACAATCGGTTCCTGCTGGGTTGGTTTGCTCACTGCCAGAGATCCCTTGCTGTTGCTGATCTTTCCTGGCCATCTGATCTTGAGTACTGAACAAAGACAGCTGTTGATGAAGGTCTGTAGTTTGCTTAAAGTGCCCTTCGTGATCCGTGTAGTAGCACTGAATTCACATTGAAGTTGAAAATCCGAATCTTATTTTTCATGCTGAAGTATTGCTGTTGATCTCCCCACAGACTTGAGAGTAATGAAAGCCTGTCTTCCCTCCTTGATCTTCACTTCGATATCTTCATCAGTTCCGTCCATCTGTAGTTGAAACGATGCTTCCTAGGCAGGTGGGTAAAGGAGGTTACTTCTTCGACAAAACAATAATAAGACGCTATTTATTTTAAAAAAGCGTACTTTGTATTTGCGCCACACATTTTGGACATTTTGATCACACATATACAAAAATGTACCATTCATTCATATTTATACAAAAGACAAGGAAGCACGAAGGATTACAGTATTTCAGGGTCGATTATGAACTCACATCAGTTGGGCAACTATTGGAAACCAGCAGCAGCTTCGAGACTCCTCAACAGCATTCACCCGCTCGGTTTCGAACCCAGCACCTTCCGGTTACAAGACGAACTTGTAAACTATTATAGTTAGAAGTCGTAACCAGCGGAGTCTACCAAATCACGTCAGAGATCAGTCACTGGCCTATGACACTGGATGGCAATTGCGTTATGCATATCGCTAACCTGCAGAAGTTTGAATTCACAGTCTGGTCCACTGGCTGAATGGTATACGAGCTTGCCTTATGACCGATAGGCCTTGGGCTCGAACCACAGCTTTGAGTTTGTACTTTCTATGAGCTCCATGCTAGAACGAGACAAGCGTTCAGTAGTCACGGTTGACTTTCAGTAGTTCTGTAACTGATATCAATCCGTCTTCAAACTTAAGACAAATCGAATCCCAACAAACCAACTATTGAATCTAGGATGCGCATCTCATCCTATTCGGGACATCTAAAACTATGGTTGCAGGGTACCAGTCTCAGTGAGAAAACTATGTGTTAGTGACTCTGGCTCACTATGCTGATTTCACTTTTCTGGGCTTAAAGTATCTATCCTTATAAGCTGACAGTGTTAGTCATTTTGATGTGGTTGTGTTCTCTGAGCTGGATAGTTAATTTGTGAAGCTTTCATCGCCCTACTAGGCAACATCTTCAGCGCACTGGCAGTGAGAGAATATTTAGAAGAAGTCGTTCCTATCACTTATGTGACTGAAACAGTATTTTCTCTACTGAGCGTCGGTGGCACAGCAGTTCGGACTCTCGCCGACCATGCATATGGTCCGGGTTTCGATCCCCTTCCAACGCACACCTGATATCAATGGTCGGCCTGCAAAATTTGGGCTACCGATATCACATACTGAGAATTCCATACTTGTATCAAGCTATAATCAACAAAAAATAAAGTCGGCATAGATGAAATCGGTGTTGAAACCTACAATTGTCAGCATAAAGAATACGATTCGGATTTATAAGACAAATGTCACGTCAGTCAGTGCCTCTGCATGGTTCAGGGATTTGGTGCACGTGTCACTACAAGCAGTTCCAACAAGCTACTGCAGATTTTCATCAACAGAAGCCTCCAGTGCTTCAGTAACGAAGATCAGACGGTCGGCTGATCAGAAGCAAGGAAGAAGGAAATCTGATAGGTAGCAAAGCAGGCCACAATGTAATGCTCAAACACTAGATAGGTTATCGAGTGCAGAAGCCAAATGAGAAGTGATGAATCGGTTTGGTTTTGGTAACCAGAGTGACACAGAGGAAATCATGTAAAGCGGAAGTGAAAGGTTATCAACCATTATGAAATCACCTAAAACAGATGACAGATTACCAAGTAGAATAGTATATATGTTGCTGAATATGCAAACATGGATGATTTCTCTGTTACAAGTCCCTTATCATAAATATTTCGAGTGTTATTTTGAAGAGATTTTGACTGCTTACAGGTGTGATCACAAGCTGAAATCAGTTAAAGGACCACTGGTAAACGACCCAGGGAGTACTGGACAGCCAGCTGTTTCGTCCTGGTTTAGGACCCTTCAACAGTACGCATCCATTAGGGTCCGGACACAGCACCTTCCGGTTACAACGCCAGCGAGCT